TCAAAAAAAAAAAAAAAACCCAGGAGGTAGAAGTTGCAATGAGCTGAAATCACGCCACTGCTCTCCCGCCTGCATGACAGAGCAAGGCTCCATCTCGTAAAAAATAAAAACAAAAAAATAAAAAGGAAGGAGAAGAATAGAATAAGGGAAACTCAATGAATAAAACGCCCTGGGGCCTACTGTGTACCCAGAAAAATGAAAAGTAAAGAAATAAAATAAGGTCGTGCGTGTGGTTTATGCTCATAGTCCTAGAAATTTGGTAGGCTGAGGCAGGAGGATCGCTTGAGCCCAAGAGTTTAAGAACAGCCAAGGCAACATGGCGAAACTCTGTCTCCACAAAAATTACCAAAAAAAATTTAGACAGGCGTGGCAGCACACACCTGCAACCTCAGCTAATCGGGAGGCTGAGGTGGGAAGATTCCTTGTGCTTGGGAGGTCGAGGCTGCAGTCAGCCCAGATGGCACCACTGCACCCCAGCCTGGGCAACAGAGAGAGACCATGTCCCAAAAATAAATAAATAAGGAAACGCCCTGGGGCTCCAGGCCCGCCCTCTGCTCCCATCGCCCCACCCCTGCACTCCTCCCTCTCCTGGTCTGAGCTCCCCCTGCTCTCCTCCTCCTCCTTCCCCAGGTTGATCCTGAGACCCATTGTCATGCAGAAAGGTGCTTCCTCTCTTGGTTCTGCGACAACCCACTGTCTCCTAAGAAAAACTACCAGGTCACCTGGTACACATCTTGGAGCCCTTGTCCAGAGTGTGCAGGGGAGGTGGCGGAGTTCCTGGCCAGCTACAGCAACGTGAAGCTCACCATCTATACCGCCCGCCTCTACTACTTCTGGGATACAGATTACCAGGAGGGGCTCCGCAGCCTGAGTGAGGAAGGGGCCTCCGTGGAGATCATGGGCTACGAAGGTGAGATGTGGGGGGCTGAGGAGAGCGGGTGCGGGAGGGACAGCATGAGGGGCAGGTGGGGCTGCAATGCCGTGGGGCGGGACAGTGTCCCCGGGAAGCCTGCAGGGATGGGGCCAGCATCCACTGTAACTGGCAGTCAGGAAACCTGGCCTGGGAGGGGAGGGCCCAGGGCCTGGAGAGAGGCCTGCTGGGTCCTCACTGCTTTCTCCTCGTTTTTTCTCAGATTTTAAATATTGTCGGGAAAACTTTGTGTGCGATGATGGTGAGCCATTCAAGCCTTGGAAGGGAATAAACACCAACTTTCAATTTCTGGAAAGACGCCTACGGAAGATTCTTCAGTGAGGGGTCTCCCCGGGCCTCATGGTCTGTCTCCTCTAGCCTCCTGCTCATGCTACGTGGGCCTCCCCTCCACCCTGGACCAGCTCCGCTTTTGTCTGGTCATCCTGAGCCCCTCCTGCCCTCAGGGCCATTCCACTGTGCTCCCCTGCCACACCGCCTCCTCCCCGCTCTCCCAGGCTCTTCCTTCAGAGGCCCCTTTCTGCTTCTATGGCTACCCATCCACCTCCCCAGTCCTGTTTCCCCAGCCTGGGTGCTCCTAACCTGCCTCTTCCCATCTCCCCAGCATAATCAAAAAAAAATTTTTTTTTTTTTTTTTTTTTTTTTGAGACGGAGTTTCGCTCTGTCACCCAGACTGGAGTGCAATGGCTGAATCTTGGCTCACTGCAAACTCCACCTAGCTGGTTCAAGTGATTCTCCTGTCTCAGCCTCTGAGTAGCTGGAATAACAGGTGCCTGCCACCACGTCCAGCTAATTTTTTTTTTTTTTTTTTTATTTTTAATAGTGACTGGATTTCACCACATTGGCCAGACTGGTCTTGAACTCCTGACCTCAGGTGATCTGCCCATCTCTGCCTCCCAAAGTGCTGGGGTTACAGGCGTGAGCCACCCCACCCGGCTACATAACCAAATCTTATTAAACTCAGTCTAGACTGGCCGCAGTGACTCATGCCTTTGGCAGGCAGAGTTGGGAGAACTGCTTGAGCCCAGGAATTTGACACCAGCCTGGGCCACATGACAAAGCCCCATCTCTACAAAAGAAATACAGAAAAAAAAAAAGCTAGGTGTGGTTCCATGCACCTGTAGTTTAAGCTACTTGGGAGGCTGAAGTGGGAGGATTGCTTGAGCCCTGGAGGTGGAGGCTGGAGTGAACTGAGATCACACCACAGAACTCCAGTCTGAGCAACAGATTGAGACCCCATCTGAAAATAAATCAATAAATTAACTCAACCTAAATGGGTATGAATATATGTAAATTGAATATCAGAAGTTTTGAGAAACATCCTTTGTAAATTTCATCCTATGAATTGGGTCATTCATGTCCTACCCAGCTAAAACAGAGGCCAGGAGCCAGGGAGGAAAAGCAGTCAGGCCACACACCATTGCTCCCAAAATGGACTTCTCTGCAAGCCTGACTGCTGAAACTGTGCGTTGTACCCTGAAACCAGCTTTATCCATAGCTTCTGCGATAAATGGCTCTAAGTCTTGGACTCCTTGCTCCAAAAGCAGCGACTCAGCAATGGAACCTCCCAGCTCCCAACCCTTCCTAGTGCCCACGGGCTTTCCCAAAGGGCAAGAGAACGTTTCTCCTTTTTTTTTTTTTTTTTGAAACGGTGTCTCGCCCTGTCACCCAGGCTGGAGTGCAATGGCGCAGTCTCGGCTCACTGCAACCTCTGCCTCCCTTGTTCAAGTGATTCTCCTGTCTCAGCCTCCCGAGTAGCTGGGATTACAGGTGCGCACCATCATGCTGGGCTAATTTTTGTATTTTTAGTAAAAACAGGTTTCGTCATGTTGCCCAGGCCAGTCTTATTTTTATTTTATTTTTTTGAGACGAAGTCTTGCTCTGTCACCCAGGCTGGAGTGCAGTGGTGTGAACTGGGCTCACTGCAACCTCTGTCGCCCAGGTTCAAGCTATTCTCCTACCTCAGCCTCCCGAGTAACTGGGATTACATGTGCATGCCACCACACCTGGCTAATTTTTGTGTTTTTAGTAGAGATGGGGTTTCAGCATTTTGGCCAGGCTGGTCTTGAACTCGTCACCTGGTGATCCAGCCGTCTTGGACACCCAAAGTGCTGGGATTACAGGTGTGAGCCACCAGGCCTGGCTTAGGCTGGTCTTAATGTCCTGACCTCAG